CACCTTCTTCCTTCGCCATCGTCTCCGCGGAGGCCCGGGTGGCCCGCCGGCTGCCGAGCGGCCCCGAGTCTCCCAAACCTCCGCGTCTGCCAAGCCGCGGCCGCCCCGGCCCGCTCCCGGCTGCCGCGCCCCCACTTCCTGACCCGCCCCCCTCCGGTGTCGCCGCCAACTGGGTCCCCCAGGCGCTCCGGGAACCAGAGTGCAGGGAGCGGCGGCCGGCCGGAGCGTTTCGCCAGCGCGCCAGGGCCAAGCCCACCACCGACCAGTGTTCGTCGCGCTCCAGGGAGGAGCGAGGCCGGTGCTCCCGCCGCCGCCGCCGTCCTCCTGCGTGACCCTCACAGGAAAGCAGGAGCCAGAGCGAGCTTTCCGTGACGTCGGGATTGGACTCAGAAAGTCCCCATGACCGTCCCATTTTACAAGCAGAAGACTGAGGTTCAAGCGCAGAGCAAGTCAGTGCTAGTTAGAGCTAGAACTGGAACCCTGGACGCGATCTGCAGGCAGTGCATGCGTGTTCTCACGATGGTTTCAAAGCCAGGCAAAATGTTCCAGGCAGGTTCTTTGGCTTGGTAGGTTTTTGTTTGGTTGTTTTTGTTTGTTTGTTTGTTTGTTTGTTTGTTTGTTTGTTTGTTGGGACTGGATCTCACTATATGGCCCAGGCTGGTCTCAACTTGCCTCAGGCTCCCAACTACTATAATGACAAGAGTGATCTACTGTCTGATTTCGTAGACACTTGACTGCTACAAAAAAGAAGTTTGTGCCAGGTTATCTTTCCCTGTTGTAATCCCAGGAGGCTCATTAGTTTAAGGTCAAACGCAGCTACATTTGCAAGTTACACCATTATCAAATAAAAAAGGAAACACAAGAAAGCAACGTGTCAGTCACCACAACTGACTTAAAATATTTGCACATCTCAATATTCTGGAAAAAGCCACAATAGTACTTGTTGCGAAGGAATGCATGTACATTATTTCATAACAATAGAATGTAGTTTCAGTTTGTTGTACTGTGCTTGTCTCACATTGCATACAGTGCACTGAAAAATACTTGCAAGTTTTAAGAAGAACCCACTAACCGAATTAAATTTTCATTGTAAAGAATATGAGAAAACTTATTTCAAGTGAAAAAAAAAACTTGGTTCTCTTTTTTCATGTTATTGAACCTTATAAAAACAGCACATAGCTTGTGGAAACTTATGTAGAATATTCCTGAAAAATAAGCACCCTGAAAGATTACAGTTTAAAAAAAAAAAAAAAGACAGACATTTGCCATTAAGCCCTAAAGCTGCCAAATATAGTAAAAGAATATTGTTTTTAAGACTGTGTGTGTGTGTGTGTGTGTGTGTGTGTGTGTGTGTGTGTGAGCTGACCTGCAGGAGCTTGTTTTCTTTTGATATGATAATGAAAATAACTTCTGAGATGGCTATCTTGAGATTAATCATGTACTGTGTGCCAAGCACAATGTGTTGCCAAGATACTAGAAAAATATGAAAGTCCTCAAGAACTTATCTTCTTGAAATCAAGGAGTTAGATACAAAATTTATTTTAAGGGCCAGCAAGATGATTCCACAGGTAAGAGCATTTGCTGCCAAGTCTAATGACTTGAGTTGTATCCCTAGAATATACAAGATGGAGGAAGAAAACAGACTCCCACAGACTGTCCTGATTCCCACACATGTGCTGTAATCCTATATTCACCCCCACGCACATACTTACACAGGAAAACGTAAGTATAATCGTGGAGAGATGGCTAAGGAGTTAAGAGCATTGGCTGCCTGTAACACAGAGAAACCCTGTCTTGCCTGGGGTCAATTCCCAGCATCCACATGGTGGCTCACAACAGGCTATAACTTCAGTCCCAGGAGTTCTAACTCACTCCTTTGGCCTCTGTGGACCAGGAATACATGTGGTACACAGTCGTTCATGAGAGTAAAAACATAGAATAAAATAATAACATACAAATCTACTTCAAACGTCCTCTAGCCAAGGCTTCTCTTGATTAATAGTAACAACGTGATTAGTGTGAAATTTATGGTGGTTGGAAAGAATATGGCCTATACCAGGCTTTCTCTTTTAGGACCACCTGCTAGCTCCCAAATCATGGCATGGAGACTTACTAGTTATGAATGCTCGGCCTTAGCTCTATTAATGTTTCTCATCATCTACATTTGCCTCGAGGCTCTTAACGTTGCTCCCTTCTGTATCTTACTCTCGCTGCTTCTCCTGGCTGGCTGGCGGCTGCCTGCCTTCTGGCCCCAGACATCTCCCCAAATCCTCTCTCGTTCCACCCCCATTTTCTTCTCCCTCTCCGTTTTCTGAGCCTAGATTTCTCCTATTTATTCTATCTACCAGCCTTGCCTATCCCTCTCATGCCTAGCTATTGGTTGTTCAGCTTTTATTAGACTAATCAGGTGCCTTGGGTAGGCAAGGTGAAACAAATGCAATACATCTTTACATAATTAAACACACATCAATACATTGTTAAACAAATGCAGCATAAACAAATGTAACACATCTTTGCCCAGTTAAAGTAATATTCCACAATAATGCACCCCTCAAAAGATTGGCGCTATTAAGAGGTGTGGTCTTGTTGGAGAAAGTGTGTCATTATGGGGTGGGCTTTGAGTTCTCTTTTGCTCAAGCTCCCCTCAGGGTGACTGTCAGTCAACTTCCTGTTCCCTGAAAGCCAAGATGTAGCACTCTCAGCTCCAACACCACATCTGCCTGCATGTCATCATGCTTCCCATCATGATGATAATGGACTGAACCTCTGAAACTGTAAGGGAGCCCTCTACTAAATGTTTTCTTTTTGTTGTTTGTTTTTTCAAGACAGAGTTTCTCTGTGTAACCCTGGCTATCCTGGAACTCACTATGTAGATCAAGCTGGCCCATGCCAGGCAAGTCATATCTTGCACAACTGGGCTGTCCTTTGGCTTAAACTCTGAAAATAGGTTTGAGACAGAAGTTTGAGAACAACTTAAGGTGGTTGATAATAGGTCTTGGAGCACACGCAGCACAGTAGTAGGGCACATACTGAGCATGTTCAAAGGCCTTGGATTTCCTCCCCAACAAATGCCAGATAAAGTTGTGGATAACAGGAATCAACACTGTGAGCATGACTTAAATGGCTGGCAGGACACGTTGTGCTGTCCGTGAAGACTGTTCCTTGATTTGAAAGCTCTTTCGTCTCAGTTTGTCACTAGTTTAAGCTTAAACTTTTTCTTTTTAGATTGACCTTGAACCCATGGCACTGCTCTTGACTCCAGTTCCCAAGTGCTGGGAATGGAGGCATGCATCATCACACCCAGCTTTCTGTATCTTGCTCTCGCTCTCTTTTTTTCCCCAAGGCAGGATTTCTTTGTGTAGCTCTGGCTATCCTGGAACTAGCTTTGTAAACCAGGCTGGCCTCAAACTCACAGAGATCTGCCTGCCTCTGTCTCCCGAGTGCTGGGATTAAAGACATGTGCCACCACTGATTGACTGCACTTTTCTTTTAAAATACTGAAGAGGTGGGGCTGAAGAGATGACTAAGACGTTAAAAGATCAGACACCAGGCAAGAGAGCAAACACCCATATTCATCAAAGAATAAAATAAAAATTAAAATGTGTTCTATTAAAATATATGCAAAGTGTTTTTAAGATTTATTTTATGTATATAAATGTTTTAGATGCATGTACATATGCCACGTGTGTCCCTAGTACCTGAGGCAGTCACAAGAGGGTCTCGGATACTTTGGAACCAGTTACGGACAATTGTGAGTCACCATATGAATGCTGGGAATAAATCCTGGGTCCTTTGTAACAGCAGAAAATGCTCCAAACTGCTGTATCATCTCTCCAGCCCAATATTAAAGTATTTTTTGAGTTGGATATATTTAACATCTTAAAATTTTTAAAAGACAGATTTTCCTAGTCATAACTTCTAGAAAGAACCTTTTAGACTGGCTATGTGAAACAATGTTCACATATATTGGTACCAAAAGATTACTGGTGCTAAGCCCCCTAGCATCCAAACTTTCCTAGGTGGGACAGGCATAGTGGCCCGTGCCTGTACTTACAGCATTTAGGAAACAGGCAAGAGGATACGGAGTTCAAGGTCAGTCACAGCTACACGGTGAGTTCAGGCTTCTCTGGGCTCCAGGAGGCCCTGTCTCTAAGGGAAGACATAGAAAAACAACAACAAAACAGTCCAAATGGACGGCTCAGTGAGTTAATAGCTTGCTGCCAACCCTGACCACCCATGAGATAACGAAGGTAGCACCATCTTGTCCTGACTCCATCTTATATCTGCCTAGACCTTCCTCAGCCTTCCACACACCAACAGCCACATCTGCCTGGCACCGCTTTTGGGACTGCTTGTGACCCTGACCATGGTCCAGACGTGTTCGCCAAAATAACTGATGTCTGTGCAAGCTAAAATATACATCTAAAATAACTAAGAAGAATTGTAAATCAAAAATAATCATCATGCAGTGTCTAGAAAATACTGCTAAGCTCTGAAAGAAAACATATTACTAGGCCACCCAAATCCCTCACTGATGTACATCCCCAAGCACAACTAATTGTGGTTTTTGTCCTTAAAACACTGTAACCCATGCCAGGCGGTGATGGCCCATGCCTTTAATCAAAACAACAAAACCAAAAATTAAATTAAAAAATAAAAACTAGCTGGCCCGTGGCGGCACACACGTTTAATCCCAGCACTCAGGAGACAGAGGCAGGCAGATCTCTGAGTTTGAAGCCAGCCTGATCTACACAGTGAGTTCCAGGACAGCCATAGTTAGACAAATAAACCCTGTCTCAAAAATAAATAAATAAATAAACAAAACTAAAAACATTGTAACCCTAGGCTTGGCCACCAAGAGATTCAGGCATGAGCCTGTTTCTGGTTGCTGGCTTAAAAGAGAACTCATAGACTTTTAATTGGGTTAATGGACATAGTTGCCAATAGCAACTCACATGGATCATTTCTCTAAGCCTGTCTCTTTCACACACACACACACACACACACACACACACACACACACACACACACAAAATAAATGTAATTTTTTATTAATTATTCTTTTTCATTTATTTTACAGTTTCCCCTCCTGCCTTTCCTCTTGTCCCCTCCCCACCTCCCCTCTTACCCCCCC